TTTGATTCACCCAATGACTGCAGAGTCATCAGAGTATTTCTGCAGATGACAAGACTCTATCTTGTACTGGAAGGTGTATAGAGTAAAAAGAAGTGGTGAGAATACAGTCCCCTGTAGTACCCCTTTTCTGCTGACTACTTGATTAGAAAGTTGAGCCTCCAATCTTACAAACTGTGGTCTGCTTGCCAGGTAATCTTTAACCAGGTAGTCTTTGATCCAGACAGTTGTCGATGCCTTCACTATCAGTGAAAGGCTACTGACACCATATTAATATAAAGAAATAAAAAGTAGAAATATAAGAATTGAGATTTAGGTAACGAACAACCTTTTTCCGATCACAAGTGCAGCTTTCATTTGGTCTTTCCTGAGCCATCAGAATCTGGCTAATCTTGTTCAAGAAAAAAATGTAGGCTTATTCATGCATTAAATCGGTATTGCTATCTCTCTTTTCAACACTAGTTGAATCAACAGAAACAAATATTTGTTGCTATGTGCAGGAAATAAATAGGTTCCTTGCCACTGAGTTTTTTGTTGCTTATGTCAATTTTTCTCTTAAGCCTATTTATACTGCACCTCATAAAGAAGGCCAGAAGTAGTGCAACTTCTCATGTCATTATTTCAGTCAGTCCGGGTTGGACAGACCACCTCTGATGTTATCACCCCAAGCACAGGCTCCCCTTAGGGCTGTGTCCTGAGTCCATTTCTGTTCAACCTGATGACACATGACTAGTTCACCACCAATCATATTGTGAAGTTCGCAGACGACACCATGGTGGTGGGCCTCATCAGTGATGACAACGACCAAAACTACAGAAAGGAGGTGGAGCAGCTTATGGACTGGTGCAGAGACAACAGCCTGATCCTGAATGTGGTGAACATGAAGAAGATCATCTTGGACTTCAGGAAGAACCGGCCTAACCACGCTCCACTGGTCATCAACAGCTCAGCTGTAGAGGTGGTAATCAGCACCAAATTCCTGGGGGTGCACATCACAGACAACCTCACCGGTACTGTTAACACTGGACAAAAGGGCACAAAGTGCATGTACTTCCTGGGGAGGATGAGGAGAGCCAACCTGCTCCCACCCATCCTCACCACCTTCTACAGAAGCACTATAGAGAGCGTTCTGACCAGCTGTCTCACTGTGTGGCGTGAAGGCTGCACTGCTGCAGACTGGAAATAGTGAGGAGAGTAGTGAGAACTGCAGAGAAGATCATCGGTGCTCCTCTTCCCGCCATACAAGATATTTCATCCCAGCGCTGCGTGTCCCAAGCCCGTGACATTATCAATAACCCCTCACACCCCCACCATAGACTTTTCCCCCTGCTGCCCTTTGGAAAGAGGCTTCGAAGCATCCGAAGCAGGTCCAGCAGATTCCAGAACAGCTTCTTTCCCATTGCCATTAGACTGTTATGTAAAATGGGGTTTAAAAAAAAGGGCTGAATGTTGGAAAACTGTAAAGCATATCTCAGTCTTATGTTTACCTTTGATCAATGCTGCACTTTAGAAATGGAAATGTCTTAAGAGCTGCACTGAACAAAATTTCATTTTGCGTACACTCTGTGTTTACAAAATTACAATAAAGTTTGTCCAAGTCTAAGTCTATTATCTACCTCGAGTGTGTTGTTTCTAACCATCCACTTATTGAATAAATACATTGATTTGGCAACTAAAGTTAGTTGCAGAACTTTTTAACACCATATTGTAGAGTTCTATCCCTGTTGTATCCCTACTGTTTAAGTGGTTCCTTATCATACCTGAATAACGCTCTTTACATATCTCCTGCGCTGTAATGCTTTGTTTTTGAGCACAGAGACGCAGTATGTAGCTTAACAAAAGAAAATACTGATTGATGCTGCTTTCACTTTCGCAAGGAAATTAATTGTTTTAGAATTATCGTATAATTCAGACGGTTCTGCCATTTTTAGCGGGGTGGCATAGGTGGACTTTGTTTAGGTTGGAAATTGCCACCCCAATTTACCCTGTGACTCTGCCACTGTGGGCAGCAAATGTAGCAGCACTGCAAGTGCAGCAGGTGACAACCATTTTTTTTTCTTTTTTTCCCAGCCTCAATTTGCATGAAACATGAAATTAAACAGAAATGTGTGAAATCACGCACAATGCGGGACATCTGTTCACCTTAAGCACTTCATCGGGGTTGGCTTTTGATGTTACCACTTTGTATGTATTTGCAGAACACAGATGGAAAAAGCATAAATTCTCTCATTTTCTTGAGCTCCTTTTCATGAATAAAATTCCGTAAATTCAGATTAAATACAAATACTCAATGATTAAATCATTGCCCACTGCAGAGGTAAAAATTGCCACAGATAACATTGGTTTATTCATTTATTGTCAACATTCTCTCTGCATAATTGTATATCTTGCAGCGCCAAGTCAGCCTCCCGGAGCCATTGAGTGGAACCTGACCAACTCAAAGATCTTTTTAAAATGGGAGCACGTCAAGGCATTGCAGAATGAATCAAAGGTGACGGGATACAAGGTGAGTTTCTCAGAGAAATAGAAGTGTGGAAATAAACACAGCTACAGCAGCTGGCATCTTAACAAATGGTTTTCTCATTGTAGAGAAAAGATAGACCTCAACACCCCAGTGTTACAATATGGATTGGACCTGCCTGGCCCTTCAAAATTAAAAGATCTGTTCCAGTTGATAAAATGAGTGCCTTCAAGCAGCAGAGAGAGTTCAGCTGTTTCAAACCAATACAACAAGGAATCATGTTTGATCTACTTTGCATACTTTGTGTGGATGAAAACACAGTTTCTGATTATTCTTTTCACTATATATATTCCTTTCCCTGAGATATGCAACCCCAGTCATTTAAAGATAAGCCTTTTGTGGAACTGTGGTAAAAGGAAGCACATGTGCTGCAGATATTTCTTGTTTATTAAACTGCCTAATGCAAAATCTTGAAGAAGCAGGCAGGATTTCTAAGAATTTTTCGAAAAATAAAAGGTCAAATCTCTTTGTTCTTTATGCTTCCTACATGGGTCAGCACAGGACACGTTTATAGCAATATAAAAGCATGACTAAATGTCTTCATAAAACGCCTAATGTCCTGTTTCATGTCATTCTATTGTTCATTTGACCTATTTACATCCTTAAAAGACAGGAAAGCAATACTTTGACCGCAAAATCATGTCTTAATTTTCAGGTAGCCCATTGTGGGACATTATGCTGATCCAATTCTAGATCTGGCAGTTTAATTGTAATAGACACTAAGCTTCAAGGCAAAAACACAGACCTGAAGACGTTAATGGAACGCCAGTTGAAAAGCCTTCAATGCCTACATTGAGGGGTGTAATCCTCCACTACTACCTTTCCCAGAATGTTCATAAAGAGCTGCAGCACTGGTCTGATCTGCTAGATGGCTCTTCCGACTCACTGCTTGGGCGTCTTTCCTGCTTACCCATCTTGCACCACCAGCAATGACTGCAAAATCTGCTTTGGTGTCAATTGCCGGTTTGTCTTAATCTCAGCCTATATCTGCTTTGGAGTCAATGCCTCCAGTCCTCAAGGCACGTTCTTGTCATGATGGGTCTTAAGTTCTTAGCCCACATGCAGAACACAACGGAGGCTGGGTAAAAGTTTTTAAGAGAGTTTATTTGGATTGCACAAAAACACAAGATCATAAACTGGATCTGGAACTGGTCAGGGCTGGTTCACTGTTCTGATACCATTGTTCTGTTCATACTGAGTCCGCTTCATTGCTTGTTACCTTTAATTCCTGACACCTGTCTCTATGATGCCACTCCCAGTGATCTGAAAGAGGACTTAACAAATTATGCTCCCCTCATTAAAATGCTCAGAGGGAGGTTATTTAGCAAAAATGTAAAACAATAGAACAACACAAAGAGATGGTTTAAATGACTTGTAATGCCTCCCTTTTTCAGCCACCACAGCTTTTCTGTTGCCTATGCTCATGTTGCTGGAACCATGAGGAAGTCCAGCGGTGGCAGCAGGAGATGCCAGGACAACAGCACAGCATACATTCTGTCCTTTTCCTGGAAAACATCACAGTTTCTGCTGCCACTACTTTGGTTCTAGAGGGTGCTACAGCCTCTGCTGCTGTTCAAAATCCCACCAGCCAGTGCTTGTTTTATTTTTTTGTTTTTGTTTTTTTACTCTTTTGTTTTATTTTTAACAGTGTTGATAAACACAGGATAAATATGGAATATCCTTAACTGTAGTAGTATAAATAAATCCTTAACAATACCCATCTTTACTAGGGTCTTGTCCCATATAAGGTGATGATAGGCTCCCATTAGTGATATGCAGCATGTCTGCTATCAGGAAATAGTCTGCAGCTTTTTCTATTTTTGATTAATTTTGCAGCTTACTGTTGTGTCAGCATATATCTTTTAAAGCACGATTTGTATGTCTAATGCATATGTACTTTAGTGCTCTCTATTGTCTGATAGCAGTATTTCTCAGCATTTTTTTTGCATTTTACCTTTGTATATGTTTTGTATGTTTGTGTGTTAGTCAAATTGTTGTATTTGCTAGTCTCATGTTTTTTTTTTTGTTTTTTTTTTGCTGTATTTTTTGGATTTGCAGTACTGTTGTGTCTCCTGGTAACTGTACATAAGTGGAAAAACATATTTTAAGAATTCAAAGATAACAGAATTTGGGTGTGCAGGTGCTGCTTTGTTTCAGCACGCAACACCCATTTAGGGAGGCCTTAGTCCTCGACGTGGGCGACCCAGGTTCGAATCCTGGTCCGTTCCTGAACGTCTCACCCCCTCTGTCATACCCCTTTCCTGTCAGCCAACTGTCTAAAAAAAAAAAAGAAAAAAAAAACTAGCCACTAGTGCCCTTAAAAAAAAAAAAAAAAAAAGAACAGAGTTTATGAAAGCTTCTGATGACTTATTATGTTGTCCTTCAGGTTATGTATCGCCAGAGTTGGCATGGCAGGACTACCATACTGGGAACCAATAAGACCAGCATCGAGCTGCAGGTCCCTTTTGGAGAGGACTATATAATTGAAATTACAGCTCTTACTGAGGGCGGAGATGGCATCAGCAGTGGCCCCATTCATATACCAAAGATGTCCAGTAAGTTTCCAGAAGTTTACAGTTTTGTAATGACAAGAGATGAAAGTAGAAAGACAAGCAGTGGGAATAAAGAATGCTGTGTAACTAATCCTCTAGAGCAATTAAGAGTGTATAAAAGCTTTAGCATAGTCCATAAGAGGTCCTTAGAAGTCATGTAGAAATTGCAATAATAATGTTTGAAGAAAAAATGCTAAAAAAAAATGCTAAAAAAAAATGAAAAACTCTCACTTCAGACCTATACTCTGAGCTCTCACTGCCTGTTATAAATATGATTTAAGTGCATAGAGCAGTTGTGGTGGTAAAAAAAAAAATCTCAAATTTGCTTTCAAGAGGAGAAAAACTTATGTAGCATCTTTAAGCCTATAATAGGATAAGATAAGAATTTATTGCAAAATGAAGCACAGTGAATCCGAAATCTAAGCGAACATTGACCATATAGAGTAGTTTATATTAAATAATGGTGTGATTAGGTTAATTAATTAAGTAGTGGTATTCCCTTAATAAAATGTAAACTTCCTCATTAACTTTATTTTTAAGTACTTTTACACAAGCTTTAAGAATTTAAAAACAAAGTGCTGTACATCAGAGATAAACAAAAAATGGAAAACAAGAAAAGAAAGCATTATAATTAGGTAATAAAGCTAATTGTACAGCAATGTATGTAGGATAAAAATAAAAGATTACGATGAATTAATAAAACAGATAAAATCAGTGGAAATAAAAATTGATAATAAAAATAAAATAAAGTATTAGATAGGTTGAGGGCCAAAATGAAAAAAAGTGTCTTTTAGACAGGTATTAAAAGTAGGCATGTAGTGTCCCTTAACTTAGAAGTCCTGGTGGAGAATAAAAGGAAAGAGATGTAGGCATAAAAACCCAATAAGTAAATTTGAGTTAAAATGGCACCTGACAGTACTTACAGTTCATGTCTTTCTAGGTTAAAATCAGGTTTATTGTTATTCAGCAGATGTCAAAAGTCGGACAATAGCATATATAAAATCACTAAGTAGTGTTTAAATGGTATGTCTCAGACCCACTTTTAAATATAACTGAAAAAACCAAGCTAGTTACTAAATATTAATTCTTCTTACCAGAGGCTTTATATTTTCAGCTCTGTTGTATTCATTGGATCAGGACTTATTTTTGTTAGCATAATACAGTTGCTTTGTATTGAGCAATTTCCTCTAGCTAATGTTTCCTTTTTTTTTTTTTTTCATAGGTCTGAACTCAAAAGGATGTGTGGGCTCAATTCCAGCTGAGATGAGCTATTTCACGCTCTTTCTTCTTTATTTAATAGTGCATCTACTGATACCTTTATATTTAATATAAAAACTGTGGATATTTTCTTCTACATGTGAGTTTTGTTGCAAAAACTACTTCGACTATAAAATATTTTAGTCATGGGTTATAAAACAACTGAAAATGGATTTGTAGAACCATGGTAAAATGTTATCAAATGCCCACAAAGTGCCACTCTTAGACAACAGTAAAAAATATTCTCTCACTTGGCTGCAACACTGCAGAATGCATAAATTTGTTAAACCTGAAGAGCAGCCCTTCTTTCCTTTTACTGATGGAGGAATTCAAGCACAAGTCCATGTCCTAGCCTCCCTTTTTATGTCTCAGTGTGCACCACCTATTCAGTCAGTTTTGATATAAAATGTCTACCTTTGTGCAAAACATAGTCCTCTCAACCAGCAGTTTGACAGAAGGTTTTGCTCAAACTGATATTATCAATTCCAAATGTGTTGATTTCAAAGTTTATGGTAAGACAAAAGTCAACACAATTTTCTTGCCAGTTTGGAGCAGCAATTGTTCTCTGAGTGTTCAGCATCCAATCCAAAGGATAATAGTTTTGTAAATTAAACCACTGCAGGTTGAATACAAAACAACTACTGTACTTGGTCAGCTTTTTCAATTTTTTTTTTATATTTTCTTACATGGTGCAGCTTTACCTCTGCCAAAGAAGTTATGTTTGTAGTCAGTTTGTGTGTTTGTCTATCCGTCTGTGTACAGGATAACTTTAAAAGTTATAAACAGAATGATAAAAAATTTTTGTCCAAGGTACAACCTCTTAAATTTTGATGATGATCCACAATATAATCCTGATTCAGGAATTTTTGAAATAATCCTTTAGCATTATTTGGCAAAACAAGCAATGTCCTCCTTAACCAGAGATTTGCAGCAGTGACTATTTACAGCTTCAGCATCAGACTCAAAATAGTTGTGATTCATTATGCTACATGCTACGATTTGAGCTGCAAAGAATAGCTGCTGCTTCACCATTGATGCTTGTCCATATTAAGGTCAGAAGAACCTAAAGAGCATCTTTGATCCTCTTGAGGAGTGTGAAGCAAAGTGTGTACAGAGTTATCTGATGCATTTGCTGCTCTTGTGTTCAGTAACCGTGACTTTGTAAGGCTATATTTGCAGTGATAAGTGGATGAAAAGTAGTTTTAATATGTTTTTTAAGCAAGAAGGTCCACCTCAAAACATTGTGCAGTAAGTTAATCAAGATTAAGATCCTGCCTTAAAATATAATTTTGCTGTCAAAGCTGCAGACCCCCACATACCGGCGGTGCGCTGTCAGGGGTAATCCTCAACAGAAGCTGCCTCAGGCTGAGTCGTGGATTTTCCGCTACTCTTTGTGGCAGCTGGAATGGATGTTAACTTTTTCACAGGCATTTGGTACTTCAGGAACCGCAATAATAAAAGCAAACATATTTTTCGTCATTTTAAGTTAATTTAGGAATTAATACACTGTTTCAGCGGAAAGTGGGTCATGGGGGTAGCAGTCTCAGCTGAGGTTCCCAGACTTCCCTCTCCACAGACACCTCCTCCAGCTCTGCTGGGGGAAGCCTGAGGTGCTCCCAGGCCAGCTGAGAGACATGGTCCCTCCAGCGTGACCTGGGTCGTCCCCTGGGCCTCCTCCAGGTGAGACATGCCTATAACTGTTTTTTAATTAAAATGTATTTTTTGGTAGAATTACTCTTAAGAGGCTTGGTATTTCATGATCCAGAGCTGGGTTTTGACACCAAACTTTAAAACCAGTGGCTTATACTTTACTGCTAAGTGACCTTTGACATTTTTGTTTAACGGTGGTGCTTAACCTGTGCTATATCTGGATATTACATTATACCACGTTAATGCACATTAAGCTTTTAAAGTGCAGCTAGAAAACTTAAAACTGGCCTTGCACATTATGGAGGTCGGTGCTCTATATTCAGAGCTAAGAACTCCTTTTACACAGAGTCCAGTGCATACCCATCTATTTCTCTAAGGGGGTCCGATTGTGGCTTTTTACTGATTAGTGTGGAGACTGATTTATTTTTTAGCTGCCTGGTTCTTCTTGGTTAGAGACTCAATTGATCAAAAGACCATTTTCACACCAAAATAGTCTGGAAAACTGAATTCAGTTGGGCAAGGCCACCAAATCTATTTAGTTTAAGGCACTTTCACTCTGAACTTTTGGAATGTATTGTGAATTATATGTATGTCCAATGCAGCAGGAAAGAAAAGGGTGACAGAGGGGGAAACACAGGATCGCATCACGCTATACAATCTTGGGGGGGAACTATTGGACATTATTTGTCTTCACTTTCTTGTTGAATTTCCAATACAACTAAAAGTGCATTTGTTTTGGATAATTGTTATTAAAAAAAAAGCAGACCATGAGAGTTCAATTTAGATTATGCATGAGATGTAAAAGAATAATTGACTTATGGTTCTCGATTAATGGTTTATTAGATTAGAATTTGTTAAATCCAATGAACTGATAACATATCCTGAAAAATTATTTCTTTAAGGGGTTGCAATTCATTGTTAAGAGTAGTCTCACTTGTATTCACTGGTATCAGAAATGCCAGAGCAGAGCATACTAGAGTTGATCACTTTAATATTGTTTAAGAAACTGTTTTTTGTTTATTTATTCAATGTTTTTTACAGCTGGCACAATAATTGTAAAATACAATGATGTACTACTATTTTTAATGCTGCATATTCTCTTGATACAAGAGAAGAATTGATTTTTAAGAAACTGGCTGGCTATTATTTAATTGTTAGTCAATTGATAAGAGCAATCAACTTCAGGATAATTCATTAACTTGCATACCTAGTTGGTATCTTTCCATGTTTTTAATGTATTCTTGCCACTGGCCAAAATCACTTAAAACCTTACATTAACAGCTAGATTAAACCATTGTTTTTCGATATAAAACAGTGGTCTAATCATTCTTTTCAAAGACTTTCTTTCTGTAAATCATATATTTAAGTCAAGTCAGCATCACTTCTTTACACTCTCGCTGGTAAAACATTTGCACAGCATGCCCTATGGAACAGGGTATACATTTCTAGGTTGAACGGAGTCTGCTTGCTGGGTTTGAAGAGTTAAGTTGACTTTTCATACCTGGCCAAACAAAGCAGGACTATCTGAGGAAGCACAATCCTAATAGAACTCGACCGAATAGCTCTGGAGTTAAAGTGCCTTAAATTACTGGATTTGCTCTCAGGTCACTGTGGGGGTGATAAGCGTGTGGCCTTAGTATGAGGCTATCATGGGCACTTTTCCTTGGAATTCTCCAATGACTGATCCACGCAGTGGCTCTTCTACCTAAAATACAAACATAATACATGTATAAACTGCCTGAAGGAGACATGGTCTGTCATTTCAGCACATCCTGCACATCTCTGTTTTTGTAAATGGTGATCACACAAACATGCAAAACTGCAAAGTACAGCCTGGGGGGGATAATTTTATATATTTTTTTCCTTTACAAAAATGTGCATGCTTAGCTATAACACCGGTGATATATATATATATATATATATATATATATATATATATATATATATATATATTGGAAAACTTTATATGTAAGTTTTAAAAGTGTCTAGACACACTAACTAGGAATTTATAATCACAGCTTTATACTAGAAGAGCCCTTACTTCATAAATTGTTCCCTTCTACCAGTTGTGGAAAACAGGGAGGTTTGATCTGGAGCAATGCCCACTAAGGTATGGCTAAGGTACTGAATATATTTATAGTGATACACCTCATACCCATTTTTCTCATGGCAAAAGTGGTTGAAAGTGTTTAGATTAGTGTGAAAAGCGTGGTATGTGATTTAGTTTGATACCTTTCAGATTTCCTGTTTTGCAAAATCTGGCATTTTTTTCCTGTAACACCTTGCCTTCTAAATCTGAGAGATAATATACAACGCTTACATTTGATATTTTTTAAAAAATAAAATTTTTGACTGACTGAATAAACACACTTCCTCTATAAGCTTTGCTCCAGCCCTGCTGTTAAGTTGTTGCAGTGGGGGAGAGGATCCTTCGTTAAAGTAATTAAAAGCAGGTTTGCTCTTCCCTCTACGACTAGTTAAACTCTCCACTGTGGGTGCAGCTGCCCGCTGACCGCAAGCTTACTCTGATAAACGTAATTATATTAGGGCAGATAATGGCTAATGCTAGCTCAAGGAGGTAAAAAGATGATCCTGTTAGGAGCTTAGATTTTTCCTCTATTGAATTTATTTTTTTCTAATGCCTCTATGGCTGATGGACTAGTGCCATTAGAGATGCTTGTTTGCTTGAGGCAACACAGTTGCCGTAAACATTGCTCCACTATACTGTATACCTGACTGTTGCAAGCTCAGGCAAATGTCTTCATGTGATCAATGGTACTAATGAATATCTCAATGCATTCTCATCAAAAACCAAGGGGCATTTAGACTTCTTTTGATGTTTTCAAATAAACACACTTACTTTTTGATGCTGTAAAACATAATCATGTAGGGACACACTTTGAGTTTCATTGGTATTTTGTTGTTTTTAGTCAGAAATACAGCAGATCCATTTAAAGTTCAGTCAATAGTTTTATGTACTATGTGTAGATGTGTCAAAATCTTTTACTGGTACTGTGTATCAAACAACATTGACATTATTGTAGTTGTAAGGACAGGGCTTTATAATTAGAAAGTATTAAGATTTTTTCCCCATTATTTTTATATATTGAATTCTATGATCTGGGGTTTTGTTGAGAAAAAATAGTAGTTTAAAGAAAATAAGGCAGACTACAATTGAGTTTTTCCCTAGTTTGTACAAAATGTTATGAAATATATATAAGTATGTTCTAAATCAGAGTTATGTATTAAGACTGAAATGTATTATATGGACAAAAGCACACCTTTCTTGATGTAGCAGCAAAAGTAATATACACATATTTGCCTTGCTAAAGTACAGTATTGATAACTCTTAACTTTTTAAGAACTTCAAATCACTGCTACCACCAGACTAAAGTGTTTTTTGGAGGGAACTTTATGTGACAGCACAAAGGACTAAATACTGCAATTATGGACTGGAAGGGACAATATGCAGTTTTTTCAATTTTTTTAAGCCTACACAATCACGGTTTTGTGCATTTAAAGCTTTAAGACTTTCAGTGTCTTTTAGATACTTTGTTTTCCTTCTGTCCTTTCAGTTTAGAAAATTGTCAGATGCATGAGATGTAAGGGTGCAATTGTCAGTAAAAATGTCTTAAATAAGATCTAAACAAATCTAAATCGTCATATAATGGGTAATGTAAGGTGAAACACTACATGCATATCTGTTATTGTTCTTTTTTTAATTAATTTGATTTTAAATATTTTAAGAAAGGGCAAACATTGGCAACCCTTTTATTAAGTATGCTCTTATGGCTAAACTTGCAACAAGATTACCAAGGTAGGACAAAGTTTACCATCCCAAAATATGTGTTTCTGGTGTTCAAGTAAAAAAGAAAAAGAAGTAAGCAGTTTCAGTAGTTTTAAGCATCACTGTGTAATTGTGTACAAAATCACAGGGCTGCACTTTGCAGAGGGCTGTAAAATTACAGCACTGTGCAAATATTTACAGTGCAAATATTTTCCACCTTACATTTTCGGCCGTCATGACAAAATGTTGACACCACTAGTTTGAATTTTAGCTGGGTCCTTATATATATATATATATATATATATATATATATATATATATATATATGTGTGTATATATTTAAATTTTTTGATCTAAAGCATTTCACTGCAGCACTGATAGAGTATATTTAAGGTGTTGAGTTCCAGCCTCAAGCTTTTAATCCCTTCTAACAATGATATGATTGCCCTGTGGTTTAGCTCTTGATACCTTCACAAAAACATTGTTTCTACTGAAGAGAGGCTCTTACACAGCATGATGCTGCGACGGCCGTGGTTGTGATGGGCCTTTTT